CTTCCAACCCAAACCAGTCTATGATTCTATACTCATGCTCTGAAAATTCATACATATTACTAATTTTAGATATAATTAGGCTGCATTCCCACATCAGTCAACTGAAGATCAATAATTCAGCTCACCCAAAGAATAACAAAAGGCACAGCAGTCGAAAAAAACATTCATTAATTGTCTTTGCTCCCACAAGGTCTAGGAAAAAAATATAAGACTTGCAAAATTCCCTAAGGGCTAACAAATTAAGGCTCATGTTTAACGAAATTCCTAAACTATAAATATATGTTATCAAGAATAGGCCTCTCATACAAAACCTCATTATTTCTTTCAGCTGCTTCCTCTTCCAACAAAAGTTGATTTGAATTTTTGTTGGTTGAAACACAGTTCTTACGTAAACGTCCTCCTGACTGATTTATACTATTGAATCAGCTGGAACTACATGAAAGAGAGCTAAATGTCATCAGTATACTATAAACCTCACAGCTTGTGCCTCAGTAATAATAATTCAGACTACCTTATACATTTTATCACAGAGGGGCAATTTTTTTTGCATACGGTCAAGAGAATGGGACCAGAAAAAACAGGGATTTTTTTAATTTTTGAAACCTTCAGCATCTAAGTGAATATAAGCCATCCAAATATAAACCACCTATTTCTGCTAGTTAAGCGCACATACCAAGACACCATTTCAAAGTCAACATATTCAACCTGCAGAAGTAGCAATATGGGTATCTAGATCAACTGCTGTCTGAAATACTTTTAACTTCTCAAGAGACTGTAAAGGCAGAATGAAAGGAAGCTAAGTTAGCTGTTGTTGCTACATTCTATTTTTCTTCTGTGCTTTTGAATGTAACTCTAACTTTACCGTGGTGTATTTTCTCTCTGTTTTTCCCATATCATGGTTCAAATCACATACTTCCAAAAAGAGTTTTTTCAGCAAAATCTATGGCAACTAGATCTCCTCTGTTAGATAACTACCTTATAAATTACAGCCAAGAATTTCCTCCCAAGTGAATGAGCCCTACATAATTGTACATGCATATTTTCAGCCAACAACTATTGAACTTGACATCTGCTATTTATATTTCATAAAGAACTTCAAATATACTAAGTACCTACAAGGTTCATAAATGCCAGTGGCCAAGAAGAGCAGACCAATTAATGACCCCATTAAGGGCAAAGTTGTGGTTTGAAGTCCCAGAGAACAATGTAAGTGATAATAGCCTGAGCTGTGAGAAGTTTGTCTCAGTTCATAGCTTCTTCAATCAAACCTCAAAACACAAAACAAGAATTAATGCTGCTGGCTAAAGAACTGCTGCTGTAAAATAAAACTTTTAAGTAAATTATCACAGGTTTTCTGAATACAAATTAAAATTTGCTTAAGTGATACAAGCAGCAGATAGCATATATGGTCACTTGACAAAAGCACTTTCATTCCTATTTGTGCCAATTTTGGCAGCAAATTTGGAAATTGCTTGCTTCATACAACATTTGGTACCAAACAGCATCTATAAAAGATTGTTATGGACAAAATACAATTAATACAATTTTTTGAACCATCGTAATATTTCCCAAAGTAGCAACGTAACAAACTAAAATGTGATCCTATACATGTTCACAGATAAAAGACTCCCAGGCTCCTTTTGGCTAGGATTTAACCTCAACTGTCTTAGAGAAACTTGCTACCCAATAAGACAGCTCAAAATATCTCCTCTTAACAATTAAAAAAAAGCCATCTTTCTTACAGAAGATAAGAGAAGACACTATCTTTTCTTTGCTTCTCGATTCAGGACAGATAAATGTAGCAAAGATTACTGTAGAGGATTACTGTAAAGGAATATATCCTTCTCTTCTTCACTGATGGGGAATCATGCTCATCCTCTCTGATTTCTTCTTTCTCCCTTAATCTGAGTTTGGCATGAAGTAAAAGAAGTTGTATAAATGGCTTGCTCTCAAAGAACAATCAATTATTTTAAATAGTGTTCTAAACCCCAAAATGATTGACAGGAAGATCCAATTAAACCATCTTCATGCTAAAGAGAAACTCTCCCTGTCCCAATCCAACTCCCTTGTCATTTGCTTAGTATTCAGAAATGAAGAAAAAGCTAAAGGGAGAAGCTTAGAGAAATGCAGGAGTTTATACTTACAAAAGCAAAAAATACAAACGCAAAAGGACTCAAGCCAACGACTTCTGATGTATTAAATCATACAATCACAATCATTCTGTAGCTTAAAATCAATGCTTAGAATATCAGGGAAGGTATTTCCAGAAGGGAAACATCTAGAGAGACAAGAACATCACTTTCTCTCTTAACATGTCAGAACTGTTTTGCACATTTCTAAAATTAAAACAAGAGTTTATGAAGCAAGAGGAAAAGTGGACATAAAAGACACACTTCATAGTCTGTGATTATAAACTATATCATCATCTAATATCACCTATAGTAAAAGAACACAGGAACAACCTGACTGTAGCTTGAGCTGCCAGCTTGTATTTTAGTCATGCTGAAAACAAGTCAAGACCAAACAGAACATTATGTACAGAAGGTTATAGACTTTTAAAGAGGGTAGGAGAGAATAATTCAGATTCTCAATGGGAATTATATGCCTAATTAGAAACATAACCAGGAACATGGTTATCACAAAGAGAAAGTAGTACTCCAGGATACAGGGTGATCACGTGGCAGGAGTTTCACTCCATGCTGCATTTAGCACTGTAATTTAATTCCTGTGGGTACCAATGGTGAGATCGCTTTTGAACAAGCTTATGCAACTAAAGCACCCGAGGTGGCTTAATCACTTTGCACCAGCACCAAAATAAAGTATTTTTCCATGTTGGCAGCAAAGAAAGAACTACTGATTCTTAATAACAAACAAAAGTGTTACTGAGAGGAAAAAAAAGCAACTTCTGTCAGAACTTTTGAAATTATGCTTTGAATCCTGCCTACCCCACCCTCTCCAAAACGTGTCTCAGCCACAAATCAAATCAATTACTCAATGTTTGCAGCATGTATGTTAACTAGACTTGTATTCTGCCTCACAGCACAAACGATACCATAACTGATTTTGTTTGCTCAGTTCTCACAGGTATTTTCTGAAGGATGGGATGAAAGAAGTACAAGAGATTAAGTGGATTAGCATATAAGCACCTAATTGTTTCTAGCATTAGCTGTACACCTTATATGCAAAAAAGGGACCTGGGGGTTCTTCCTGGTAGATACCAAGTTGAACTTGAGTCAACAATGTGCTCTTGTGGCAAAGAAAAGTAATGGTATCCTGGGCTTCATTAGGAGGAGTCTTGCCAGCAGGTCAAGGCAGGGGACCCTTCTCCTCTCTTCAGCACTGATGAGGCCACACCTGGAGTACTGTGTCCAGTTCTGGGCTCCCCAGTACAAGAGAGACACGGACACACAGCAGAGTCCAGCAAAGGGCCACTAAGATAATTAAGGGACTGGAGCATCTCTCTTATCAGGAAAGGCTGAGAGACCTGGGACTGTTCAGCCTAGAAAAGGCTCAGGGGGATCTCATCAATGTATAGAAGTACCTGAAGGGAAGGTACTAAGATGACGGAGCCATGCTTTTTTCAGTGGTGCCCAGTGAAACACAAAGTGAAACACAGGAGGTTTGGTCTGAATGTCAGGACACAGTTTTTCACTGTGAGGGTAACTGAGCACTGGCACAGGTGGCCCAAAGAGGTTGTGGAGTCTCCATCCTTGGAGATATTCAAAAGCCATCTTGACACGATCCTGGGCAACTGGCTCTATGTGGCCCTGCCTGAGCAGGGAGGTTAGACTAGATGACCTCCAGATGTTCCTTCCAACCTCAACCACCCTGTGACATTAAAATACAATTCTAAATATAAGGAGATTATTAATTGGTTCCAGATTAACATACATTTACCAGTAGGATTGCACAGATGATCTGCAGATTGAAGGCGTCGCTAACAATAAAAGGACAAAGCATTGCTATAGCACAATCTGCATTACTCAGTAAGGCAAGGCAAGGCAAAAGCACACTGTCTGTATAATTGTCAATAATAAGGTCATCTGTCTGAAGAACAAAGAATGTGAAATACATTTATTTGGATGAGAGCAATTATTACATCACTACTGATGACAAAAATTTGTGGGATCATAGTGGATATTTAGCTGAACATAAACTTCGTGCTACACTCAGCCAAATGAATGGATGCAAATCCTCAAGATATAAACATCAGTCTAACAGGATAAAAGTAAAAGGGTCATATTATTAATATTTTCATCACTGAAAATGACTGTGCAGTACTGTATCCAGTTCTGGAATGTGCTCACCATGTGCCTGCTGTGCCAGAAGAAAGTACTGGAGATAATTCAGAAAACAACAGCATCATAATTTTAAGGACTGAACACCGTAACTTATGGTCCCAAAGACGACTGTCAAAATGTAACCTCTCAGCTGTGACTAAGCCACACCTAAGCATTTACTTACACAACAAAAAGTTGATAATAGAAGACAGACAATTCTGCCTTTCATTTAGCAGACAAATGCGTAAAATGATCCAAGTGCCGAAAGTTGAAAACAAAACCAGACAAATTTAGCAGCAAGATTATTCATCATGTTTTACTTGCTTTAAAAGACTGCAAGGATAATTAGACACCTAAACAGATCAAACTTTGGGGTATTTTTTTTTTTTTTAAACTAAGTAGAGATTTATTATTCAACTGTTGGTATCCCTCCCACAAAGGTTAGGGGCACAATTTTTGGACTTGAAAATTAACTAAATTTTGAGAATTCCTATGATCAAAATAAAGGCTCATTAAGTTCTCTTGAAGATTTCTGAAAGCTGGTATCCACAATCTTTACTACAGTTAAGGTCAGGCTCTGTCTGATAAGTGTGGTATGATATAGGACATTCTAGAGCTTTCTCCATCACAAGCATAGCAAAATAAAGAATTTCAGTTGGTTTTGGAATTAAATCCTGCACTTTTTGAAGACAATGTCATTTTCTTTGTCCAAAGGAAACAGTATTGCCATGTACTCCTTCTTTTAAAAGATAACCATTTGCAACATTTTTTCATATTGATCCCCAAGAACCTTAGACACGCTAGATGTGTTCCTCTGTCATAGGCATACACACAACTAAAATAATCTTATTTAAATAGGAGAAAGCAAAGTTTTGAAACTTATTTCAGAGAATCTTGATAATATTAAGTAAGACAAAAATATTTGGCAGTTGTGGTCTCAATTTGATGTTTGTTTCTAAGATCTTGCTTATTTCCCCTAACCTCCTCACCCCCCAGCATAATCTCTTTCCTACTCATGCTGGAAAGAAACACTGTTCTGGAATGAAGTGTGTTTCTTGTGTTTACTACAGAGAAATGACAGAGGAAAGCTGGTGAAATGTTTGCATCACAGGATGCAAACATTATTGTATCAATAATGCTTCTGCTATAGTTCAATTTATACCATTGTCTATCACATAGACAATCATCATAAAATCAGTGTATCAGAACTCAAGAAAGAAAAAAAAGACAGAAAAAAAGACTGTACAGACCAAAGATAAATGGGAAGGCTGAGTTTTCTTAAATGGTACTTACACCAAGAGCAGCTTGGTAGGTAACTTCGGATGGGAAGGTAAATGAAGGCCCTGTTGTGACTGGGCTGCTAGGGGGTGGAGTCACAATTAGCCCTGTAGTACCGATATGAACCTGTGAAAGACCAAAAAAAACCCAAAACCAAAAAACAGCTGGGTGAGTTCTGAGTAGTTTAATAAGAGCTGGGTTTGACACAGCTGTAAGCTTCATAGTCAAAATCATCAGTACTCTACTATCTGTAACTTTAGACTAGAACTAATTTTTTGTTAGATACTCATACAAACAGTATTGGATCACACTGCTCACTTCGCCCCGCCCCGACATTCCAGAAACTTTGGAGATATATTGAACTAGCAATGTCAAACACACTTTTACGAATGCCAGTTTTCTTTTTTTTTCCATAAAAGACTGTCAGATCCCAAAGACGTGCAAATAAAACAGATTTACTAGCTCATGTGAAATGCCACCAACACTTAGTCTCCATCACTCTCTCTTCTCCCAAAACATAATCTCTATGCGAAACAGACAATTGTTCACAAACTACTGTAGCTCGTTAACTAAAAGCTTTGAAGGAACAAGAGATTAACAAATAAATAAAGCCAGAAAAATATTTCTTCTTATCACAATCAGATTAATATGGTACATTTCTGGAATTAATGTAATTTTCAAGTTGAATTTACCTTTTACTTGCATGCGCTTCATTAATATAAAATATTATATTCAATTTAGAAAAAACCCAAGAAATTAAAATCACTTTCTAGTGATTAGTTTCTAGTTTCCACAGTTTAATAAAAATCTTTGTGGCACTTAAGAAATTAACAAGTGTGAAAAAAATTAGCTTATGAGACCAAAACTATTTGCTATCATTGTACAAGAAGTGTTGTAAAACGTTTTCCTTAAACGCTTTCATGTTGGAAGATAAACTTCGTGAAAGTGTATCTTAATATTAATTACATATAATTAATAATTTCAAGTAAGTAACCGGACAAAATCAGAAACCTTTATAATTATTTTAAAAAAATACACACATAATTTATATTTGATTTCATGTAAATTACCTGAGAGGGGGCACTACAGGAAAGTCCTGTCAGCTCACTTATGCGGGCTGCTGCAGTTGGGTTGCTGGAGCTGATGAGGACAGGAGGACTAATTTCCATTGAGTGGCGATTCTGAGAAGATTGTGAAGACTTGTTGGACATAGTGAGGGAGGTAAAAGAGTGCCGTTTTTTGGTGTTCTTCTTAGTATCGGTGTGCTTTTGGGTTGAATTGTTGTGGGCTGCCCCAGAAGTACCTTCTCCAGAGTCACCAGGAGAACCTGAGGGCTTATCCAATTCTATCAGCTGTTTGGCTGCTGTGTTAAACTACAAAAAAATAGTCATACATTAGTATTATTTTTTAATTTACAAAAATCACCTGAATATAACAAAAATCTACTTTCCTTTTATTCATAATATAATTTAAACCATGCAACTTAAAACTGTGACATACTGACCTACTCTACAAATTAGTCATTACAGAGTGACAAGTCTTTCACTACAAAGTAAACACACTAACTGTTGGGCTGATCTGGAGGTAAAATTTCAATCAAGAAAGGACATTATGCTCTAGTCTAGACATGGATTAATTCAGCAGTCGCTACTGCCTGTGTTATCTAGAAGTCAGACTAAATAACAGTGGTCTCCTTTGACCTTATATTACAAAAATCTGTATTACAAAACTTCTTGAATGTTCATTTCATTGTACATGTTTCTTGTTTTGTTTATAAGTATGACATAAGTCCACACCTTTCATGTGGGCTCTTGAAGACATTCCTCCTAGTATCCCTTGGTGTTTATGCACATATCTTTAACACTACCAGTATTAAAAAACAGGCTTCCTAAATGCAGATTTAAGGAGACAGTAGGACAGGCTTAAGATCCAGCTGTATCAGTATGCTGCCTAACAACAAGTAGCTATACAAGCATAAGACAGTATAAGAGAAAAGAAATATGTATTGGCAATTCTGTGGAAATACATTCTCAGCTTCTGAATTTTCTAATGCAGAGGTAGCACCTCTGTGCCTAAGAACCCTCAAATGGATTTTTCTTTTTTTAAGCTTATTTAATGAATTTTTGTTCATAATGAAATTTTCTATTTGTTTATTTGGTACAACAATATCATATTAAATGCAAACGAATCCTTCCTTTCCAATGAAGAAATATGGAATCCTGCACATTTTCTTCTTACAATGAAATGCAAGCTATGTAAGAGAGGGGGGAAAAAACCCCAAACCAACCCCTCTACATTTTTCACAAGTCCTTTATTTCCAGAAAAATCTCATTTATATTTTAGAACTACTGGAAATAATAATGTCAGAACTCTCATTCATTCATGAGCTGAAATAACACCAGCACCAGTCTTCTGAACAAGTTAACTAATGTTAATATGTACAACTAAATACGAATATTGTTACTTGGACAAGTGTAGCCAATTATGAAGAAGGGAAAAATCTTTTCTGAAGGACATCAAGATGAAAGAATGAAATCAGTTACTGTGGAAGTACTATTTCTATTCTTCAGTATATTATTTCTTCAATTTTTTTAACCCATTTTTCCACAAGTTTTAGGATACCTATTATGCTCATGAAGAGTTTTAAAACAGTATTTTACTCCACCAAAACTTTACTAGAGAAATAACACATCATTAGTTATGATAGTATGAACACTGATTTACATGCAGCTCACACAAATGACAACAGCTTATCTGAACACTTTCCCATCTCTGAGGACAAGTAGATATACCTAAGTGGTACAAAAAATAAAGAATATATTTTTTTAATATAGAAAAGGTTTTCAAGTGGTATTTCAAATATGAGATCTGGAAGGAAATTCCATGCATACACAGAAGAAATAGACAAAGTTCAAAACTAGAACTACTGGAACAATGAGGAGTCGACATAAAAACCTATTGGAATGTAACAGCAGGAAAATTAAAATTATTAAATGCTTGAAGAGGAAGAACTACCTAAAACATACTGCAGTGCAAGAGAGGCACAATGGGGGATATGAAAAAGGATACAAAGATGAAAATGTAGAATTTTTTCCTAAATGTTCTTATTGTTGGTCCTTCAGAAGGCAGCTGAAGAGAACAGGAAGGATAGGAAACGACAATGTCACAGAACTAAACATTCCTAAGAAAACGATGGATGCTAGATTTTCCTTCCTGCTAATACTGGACATGGATCATATGGACAAAATCATTTTGTACCATTTGTGTAGTACAGAAGACATAACCATACAGCTTTCTCTAATTAACTTGCAAGCCCGTTATTCAGATAGGTTTTTATTTATTAAATTTTAACTTTAGACCGAACATACTTCTAACAGACCAGTGAAAACGATATTATTGTATCACAGAACACTGCTATGAGGCTGAAGGATATGAAACAAGTAGAAAATAAAACCAAAAAAAGCCTACTCTGCTACTCATCCTGTCAGGGTCCTATCCTTCATCATGGAAGAACATGCAGGCTTTTTCTAAGACTAATCATTTTATGTATTTTGCACATTTTATTTTTTCTAACTCAGACTGAAATTCTTCATGTCCTCCCAGAGAATCTGTGTCTCCCATACTGTCTTATACAATGGCTGCAACCACTTCTATTCTTATCTAGTCTACTCCCTTATTCAGCAGCGCCTGTTCACAAATTACCCAGATCAGAGAAAGAAAAGCAGTACTCATTTCTAAAACAAGAACTACCTAATCAGAAAAGTTAAGGGATCACCCAGGAATAAAAAACAAAACCAAAAGCCACTCTGCTAAAAGCACCCCAAGGTGCCTGTTACCCCTAATTATGTTTGTTTACCTCCTGAATCTATTAATGCCTGCAGAACCTGATTATTCTACACAGTGAACAACCTACTGGAGAAAAGTTAAGGCTATCCGTGGGACCGATTCAAGACTGACTCAAATATAAGCAACATTCTGAGCTTTCTTCTGTAGAGAAGCAAGCACAGGATAGTGGCATGAAACTAAACATGGAAGTTACTTGATTACTAGCCTCTTCTTAGAAGTAACCTGAGGATGGCAATAGTTGCAAAATATTTTGCAGAGTGCAGTTTACTTCTTCCTGGAGAAGAGAAATGAAGAACTTGCATGCATTCTCCAATGAAATGGCTAGCAGCTATTCAAGGTCACCATGGGAATGCATCCCACTCCTACTATGAAGTGTTACAATATAGCATTCCCTTCTTCAACAAATATCCCCGTATCTATTCCCACATTTTCTACGTCAGTTGTTTTCCTGTATAGATGTATTTGAACCAAAGCTTCTTTACTTTAACTTTCACATTCACATTGATTTGTTTTTTCCATTCAACAAAATTTTTGCTGTAACAGGTAGCCTGAAATCCAACTCCTCCCTTCCTGCCAAAACCCAAGGAAGCAGAACAACTTTCCAAATGGGGGCAAGACAGAGGCAGCCAGCTGAGCCCATGTCCGCGCTGCGGTAGGGGTCAAAGCTAGCAGCCAGGTTTCCGCCTGCTTGCAGCTGTCTGGAGAAATTACCAAGTAGACTACCATGCAAGACCTACTCCAGGGTCTCTTATAGCTGTGCATTGCTGTACTTATTTTACAAAACAGTTCAGGCATTCTTCACTCACATGTCGATAGCTAGAATTCAAATGTAATCACTTTCTGAAATTAAGTGAACACACTACCTTTTCCCCTCAAGCGATCTTTCTATTCATGTTCATCCAAAATTTTTATTTATGCAATTTTACTCCATCACCATACATCAAGCAGTTAATTTTCCACATTACCAACACTATCATTAGTCAAATTCAAATTCCTAGACAACATTTCACTTTCACATGTATTTGGAAACAAAGGAGTAAAGTTCAAGTTGGAACTAAGGCAAACGTCCTTATTTGATGTTATTTTTGCTAAGCGTCATCCTAGAGGACAGGCAAGAACTTAGAAACTAAATTCAGCTTTACAATTAAAGCTTTGGAACAAATATATTTTGTCTAAACCAGCGGAAGAATTATGTAGGAAATCTTGAACAGATCACAATCATGAGTAAAGCTGCAGTTATATTAATTTTTGAAACAAATGACAGTTCTGTATTGCAGGTTTTGTTAGGAAAACTCATCAAAACGATGATACTCAGTTGTTGTCACTGGAATGTTAACATTGAGATTATCTCATTCAAATATAGTGGGGATTAGACTACAATTTTCTACTCAAAATTAACAATCTCTGTTTTCAGGCATCATGTAAAATATTCACTTTTTGCATAAATTTTCTGTTTAAGTTCTGGGCAGGCAAAACAGGCAAAAAGTAGAGGAAAGTTTCCATAAAAGGTTTTACCTTATTCTCCTGAGTTAGTACTGTTACAAAAGTCTGATTTGTTTTCCTAAGCACTTTAAATCAGATCACATCATCTAACAGTGATAGACAAAGTTTAGTCTAGTAAGTACAACGTTAAAAAGACCACGTTAGAAATGCAGACTAAAATCCAATCTAAAATGTATAGACACAATAAAAAATAAATATGTTTCGAAACACTACTGTTTGATACAGGAGGAGATGCTAATAAAAAACCCAACCTGACACACTAGGTACATAAAATCTTATGTTCTCATTGATTAAAATGTTGTGTTAACTGATGGATGCAGTAGTATAAAATGGCAATGAACTTAAAATTCTACTACAGTGAACATCTTAGCTCATTTGAGGTGTTTTCCCTACATCTCTATAAAATTGTTTACAAATAAAGCTAGAGAAGATGGATTAATACAAAGACGTTTCCCAGTTCATGTTAACTTGGGAAAACAAAAGCTGTCATTATTTTCTACTGACATTTTGATTGAAAAGTGATTCCTTTTCTCTGAATTTTCTTTTTCTATTGTTGTGGGCATTTGTAGTTTCCTAGTTGTTCTGTACGAGTGCCGAGTAACTTGCAAAAAATTAAACACTTTTTAGATTTAGAGTGTGTTTACTAAGTGTTAATCCACATCAAAAGCTCAAATTTGAGGTCTAAGACATTTATATTGTACCCAGAACTGTACTCTATATAGAAAAATTCTAATACTTTATGTTTAGTTCTGATTAATCTTTCTTTTAGGAACAAACATAAGTGTTATGAACTTAATCATACAGTTTCTGGACTCACTGCATTTTATTTTGTCACTGTGCAAGAATATGATTGACCTGCTTTTAATGCAAGCACCTTGAAATTCCATCAGTCAAAAGTCTAGTAATTTAGATATGTTAATCAGGTCTTACTCTAGTAAAACCAGAGTATTTGTTTGGTTTTAGCACTTCTTAGAAAATAGAATTTCATTTTTTGCAATGTTTTGTATTATTTATTTTTCACTTGCAGATAGAAGTGATTATTTCACAGTGCTATATGTCTACAGATAAAGACGTAATGTTGCGTGAGTCAGTTAACAAACTGTATTTTTAATAGAATCATTATTAAAATTCCTCTCAAATGTTTTCAGTCTTAGCTTTTATTATGACCACAAAATTAGCAAGTGAAAGTGATATAAAAGAATAGAGCAGACTAGCAATCATCGGATCATAAAATGTTCGTCCAGGTAAAAAGCTGTTGTCAAATCAGAATTTTGCATGGACTTTGACATATCTGAAGTTTATCCTGTGACCTCATTGTACAAGAAACATTGCAAGTATCAGACCTATACTGCAGAATAAACATCACAGACCACACTCGTTTTAAAGTTAATGACTTCAGAAAATCTCCAGTACACACAGCTACTAATTCACATTTTTTAAAAAAAGAAAAAAAAAAAAAAGAAAAGATGTGGACTAACATACAGAAGGCAAAGATGTGTCTGTCATATGACAAAAAAATAGGCAATGATTACAGGATTGGAAAATATAACTAAAAATACCATATTAAAAATACCTCAAAAATACGAATTACTTTTCATCTTTGGTGTCTTCAATAATAACATACGTAAGAATGGTTTGATATACTTGTTTGTAACAACTATCTGCATATTTTCCAGAACAACAGTTATATAATCTCAGGAAAACAGGTATTTCAAAATTCTAATCGATAGTTTTCTGCATATCTCACTGCTCTTCATCACGGCATGTGTTTCAGTTCAGTATATACTGAAAAAAACCCACCTATCTGACCTGAAGTATCTCTTTGGGTATTATTTATTTCTAGATTTCCCTTATCATTTTTGTGGGGATTTGCAAGTGTGTACACAAGTGCTTGTGCCTGTTCTAAAAGAGTTAATTAAAGATACATTTTCTTAGTTGATATAATTTGTCTGAAAACATCAACAGTGAAATACACTTTGTGACTGAGTATCATTTCAAGAATTTACCTCCATTTTGCAAACTTCTGTAGGGAAGGAAACGGAGTTGTTAGCTAAACAGTTTCTTCTAACTTGGCTAAGTGATTTAAGCACCACAAATACCTTTACTGGCTGAACTGAAGGGGCAGTTAATTGCAAGGAGCCAGGAATGAATAGCCAGGGGCAAGAACTTCTGAAATTGGCTTTTAAAAACTTAATTCAACTGAAGCCAGAATTACACTAAGCAGGTTGAAACCCTTTTGGGTTTGTTGTTGTTTTTTCAGTCATGTGAAAATTTCTATCCCCAGATATACAAATCCTTCTATCAACCTATAAAAATTAATATAGGTATTTTCCCTTTAAAAAAAATAATAAAATCTATGTTGGTTGAACACAAAATTTTTTTTAAAAGTTCCCATCTCATCAAGGCATTCAGAAATTGATTTAATAAAACCTGACTTGATTCTTAGTATGGTTACGCATTTCTTCTGTGACCTGAGGTACAGATTTCTCATCCCATGGGTAATGTGAAAATACCTTTTTCTTTCACTATTCTGCCTCATTTATTTAAATAAAATCTCTTCAGTGGGAGAAGTGTATCTTACCAACTATCCATAGCATACCTATCAGAAAAAGACAAACACTATTCCAAACCTTTATATCTTTCTGTAATGCAAATTTTAATAATCATCGTTACACACTGTTCTTAATCACCTATGTCTTTCTATACAGAAGATACAGCTTTCAACTTTTAAACTTTAAAAGGTTGGGAAAACTTTCTCAACTGCTACCTCTCATTGTAAATTGTCATATCACATACGAGAGATGCAGGAAGATACAGATGATTTTATATAAGGATCTTTTGGATGTAAAAATCAATGCTTTACCTGCTTAACAACAGCCTATATTCTCTGACTTTCTAGTTGTGCTAATTTGGTTTTGAGAGACAAGTATTAGGGACAGTGCAAAACTTAGTACTTCTCTGACTTCCTGATTACTTTCATTTTGTGGCTAAGTGTGGTTTGTGATTGACTGCATGACTCCAGTATTAACAAGAAAACACAGTGACTGCCTCCAAGTACTTTAATTCTGATTCCATTCAATGAAAATAAGTATCAAATAGCTAAGTAAAAATCACTTGTTCAACTGCTGAACTGTTGAGGTCATTAACTTTCCCAAACTAAGCACACAGACCTTAAGAGTATTTTAGGTCTAAGACTATTTATATCTCAGGTTATTTTAGAATCATCACCAGTACTGATTATTTTTCCTTTTAGAAAATGAAATACCATTGGGCACAACTTTACCGAGGGCCTAACTTTACTCACCTCAACATATGAAATTGGAAATATTCCTATCTTGTCAGCCAGCATTCCTTCTGCCCAGTTTTCATCCACGCGGCGAATTACAGTCAGAACATCATCCTGTGTGAATATGCAGTGATTATGTCCCCCAGCTCTAATTAAACTTCTAATTTAATTTCCCTCCATAATGCACGAGTAATCAGAGAAGGCAGAACACAGGCAAGAACCGCAGAGAAGGTGCTCCATACCAGGAACGTGCCACTTTTGGGGTTGAAGTCCGTTCCAGCCATTCCTTTTCTTATTTTGTCAGAGTTCAGCTAACTGTCCACAGCCAATATCAGCCATCTGACTTTCTCCTTAGTGCCAGACTTCCTCCTGTGTTCAGCCCAGGGTATTCATCAGCCCCCGTTTAAGTCCTTGGCATTATTCAACAGAACTTCAATCTTTTTCCTTCTCAGCTGACTCATTACTTAATCTTCCATGGACATTACTTTTCTACTTAAGTACTTAAGAACACCGGTAAGTGATATGATTTCTTTCGTATCTACATGGAACATTTGGTTTAGATATGGTTTTGAGAATGTTACATAAAAAAAGTATTTACGGGCACATTATCATTGCTCTCGCTTATATTGAGATGCATAATTGTTTCATATGCAAGCTAAAGTATTTGGAAACACACATGCTTACTCAAGCGAGACTGCAGATTGAAAAAACCAGTTTGCCAACAAATTAATCACAATATGCAAGCTAATGCCAATCATCCTCAAGAGTATGGCAGTACTGTGTTGTAATAATCAGTCTGTCCATGCGTTAATAACTTTCCTTTTTAGAATTTTTGCCATCCTCTTCATTTTTAATAGGCAAGGGCAGAAAAGTGCAAAATTTTTGTGCAATTTAATAAATTAAAGAATCAGAAACAAAAAATGGAACAGCTCTGAGGTATGTTAAAACCCTGTATCATTATGTGCCTTGCAAGATACAAAATTAATTACAATAGAAACAACATAAGAAGAAATCTCATATTTTTCAAAAGGCAATTAGAAATATTATAGAATAACATAGTAGAAGTTCGTGTCTAGTATCTCGATCCTAAAAATGCCACTTACTAAATGGGAAGTTGAAAATAGTTGTCAGCTTCAACAATTTAAAATGAGCATTTCTTTAGAAGATGGAACACTTAATTCATAACATAGGTTATTTCTCATAAATTAAGGACATTACTACTGTGATTATGAAAAATCATATTCTCAAAATAAAACCTCAGAGAAATTATATGTAATTTAGGAAGAGAAGGAAGGCAAAACTAATCAACATCGGAGAAATACCTGCAGAATTACTGGCCCTTTTCATATTTGTCCAGTTCCAGTAAAAAAAGAAATGCAGACAAGACTACAGGACAGTCTTATTATTGCTTATCCAAGTTAATGAAATTATTAAAAGAAAATAATAATAATTGTATTCTTTTTTTACCTTTGCAAATGGTAAACAGTCTTTATCTGCTTCCTTGTCTTTTACTTCAAAGTCATAAAGTGCTTTGCACTGTGGTGGCGGTTGAGGTAAAGGTTTAATAATCTGAACAAAATTGGTAGGAAAAAAGCCATGGATGCCATTGACTTCTCCATGATACCAATTTTCATCCACCTGTCGACGCAAAATGATGATGTCTCCTTTACTGAATTTAAGATCTCCAGGTTCTTTTCCCTCGTAGTTATACAATGCTTTGGCACATGGTAACTGAGGTACACCCTAAAGAAGAAGAAGAAAAAAATCACTAGAATTATGTCAGTACTGCTAAATACATTTTATATTATATTCTTTGGGAGACTATAAATGAAGCTGTATAAAATTGCAAATAAAATTATTTTATTGCAAGTATTCTACTGATTTTACTAAAACATCTAGGAAGATCTTCAGTTCTATACAGTCTTAACATCCTTTCCCCCTAAATTTCATTATGATTTTCAGGAATGCTACAATGTTGCTAGACACAAGAGAGGCAAAAAACCATACTTTAACCCTCGTGTACTAATTCACTAAGCTTTAACATTTAACAAAAACCAAACCAAACAAACTGCAAAGTATCCTGGCCACCTTAGAGATCTAACAGAAAAATGCTGCAAGAAAATACAGCACCAGAATAACAAATTTGTGATAAGACCTTTAAGGCATGTTTTCTGCCTGACTTGCTTATTATTTTCCTCACCTTATTTATTTCATGGGCACAGAATGCTAAGGATGAGGACATAAGGAAAGTGTTTTCCAGCTTGAAAAACAAATTTCACTTTAATAAAGGTGAGATAATTCATCCTGGAACAACCCTTTTTATTTAATTATTTATTTAAAACCACAGCTAAACAGAATTAGTGTGGGGGGGGGGGAAATCAGTTGAAGGTATCCTTGGGTCTTCTTCACTTGATTCCTCCATAATATCTGAAAACTGTAGGTCATTGATACTGCTCTTGAACACACATCAGAAGGATTACAATATCATACTGTGTCATCCTCCCTTAGATACACTGCAGATATTCTTTTTTAATTGTCAGTCTGTGCTTCCACATTTTGCAAGAGTGAGCCATAAAACTCTACAACTCTAATATTAGGCCTGCTGCCTTCAAAACTCTCTTTTCTCTCCAACTTTAAATACCTAGAGGGGAGCTCACCCTGCAAACAGCAGTAACTTGCATTACCAAGACGGTCTCTCCATAGCAAAGACAGCATTTATGGTCCGCTAGAGCACAGCATTTCCATCTTTCCCATGTGGGAATGGCAACTTTTAATGAAATTCAATGTTGGCGATGTTATTCGCTACATGTACACCATGGTATGTCTCTCCTCTCAAGTCTTCTACCAGCTCAGACTGTAAATTGGAGTTGAACTTGCAGTATCTCGAGAGGCACGCACACAAGGCAAAGAAATTCTCAGAAGGAATTACCACTTCAAGTCTATCTCATTGGTCAGAAGACAAAGCTCTTGATAATTTATTTCACATTTAACACTTAAAATGTCTTTTAATATAATCCAATTTGTTTGGACACCTTTCATGTATGATTTTAAAAACAGATTAATAATTTAACAAATGGATAAATAATATCTTAAAGATTAGTTTATTTAATATCTTCTTTTCTATACCAAACAGTCAAAGGATGACCATATGTGTATGCACAGGTACAGATGAGCCTGATGAACCTATCAATACAGGCAAATCACACTTCATACCTACGAATACAGGCAAATCACACTTCATACCTACATATACAGGCAAATCTAGGATGGGTACTAAAAATATTGTATTAGCAGCATCTATGCAATTGTTCACAAAAATTGGTGATCTTCACACTGATGCAAACAGTATTTTTCATCCTGATCAGCCTTAACTGCATCAGCATAGAATGGAAACATCACGAGCATACTCTGTATAAACCTGGATAGGGAAAAAGACTTTCCCCTCAACTGATTGAGGGGGATATTCATGGCCGTAACAGAAAAATTCAAAAAATATTGTTATGTATGTATTTTTTAGTCCTATGTGCTCTCTGCAGAGTAAACAGACACAACGAAGGGAACAGGCAGTGTAGATGTAGTAAGGACCAGTGCACAGAGAAAACTGGGCGGGGGGACAGGGCACGTTGGAAGTGAAAAGAAACACATCTCTACACAAGAGAGGAAATACTGCTTGCTTATCCATTTCCATCCCAATAACAAAGAAACAAATTACAGCCCTTTAGTGATTATGAGCCAAAGAAATACTTGCTATGAAAAGCGCCCCAAGCAATTATAAGACACACGCATCTCTTGCACTGGAATCACCCTGTTGTCCCAGGAGGAAGCCTTCTATGTCCCCGTACTGAGGAAGAACTTTAAGATTAGCTGCATGTATAACATATAGTTGGAACACCCCCCCCTTTTAAAAACAAACATAACAAAAACAAACCAGGAGTCCCAGCACAGCAGATCATATCAAAGTGATCAAACTCATCAATTAGTCATCGTTTAATTGTTAGAACTTGATATTGCATTTATGCAGTTTATCGCAATCTCCCATGAACAAACCTGTGCTCAAACGTACAAACAGCTGTTTATATTTTATAGGAAGTTCCTTTCCCAGCATATAGGTTGAGTTTCTGCAAAGCTTGTTTCCCATGTTAAAAATGGTTCCAGTCTGTAATTTCAAACAGAACAAAGTTCAACAAAATACGCACTTAGTTCTCCATCAGATTGCCAGGGATTAAAGAGAAACAGTTAAATGGCTCAGAAGAGAACTAAAGCGAATGCCTTTTTCTTCCGTCCCAGGGGGAGGATGAAGTGAGAAGGAGGGGGTGCGATGGGGAGCACCATTCTCAGGTGTACGGTACCAAGGGCCCCCCCTCGAGCACCACCTTCACGTTCCTCCTCCTCTGAGCAACCTGGGAGCCGCAGCTCATGGCTGGTACCTTTGGGCCGTCACTGTTAGCAGCCTTGGGCAGCTTTGGCCCCCCTTCTGCCCCTCCGGCTGTTCACCAAGAGAGAAGGCCATGAGGATATGCCGAGCTGGAGTTTACATTTCATTCCGTGTCTCTCACTTGGCTAAACATGAAAGGAAGGCTTTGGAAGAAAAACTTTGCAGCCTACCCTTAGGTTTACAGCTGCCATTTACCCTGCCAGCTCTTTGAGAAAGCAACAAGAAAAAACCCAGACAAATACCACTTTAGGAAATTTAAAATATAAAACCCAGAAAGACTCCACACAAAATAGATTTCTTAAAATTATTTCCTCAGTCCTTAGGCAAAATCCTTATGCAAAAATATTTGAACTTCTAATGCTACCGCTGATACACAAACTCTTTAAATTTATTTTAGCTAAGGCATGGATATACATACATTTCACATGCCAGACTCCTCTAAAGAAAATAAAATTAGTAATATATGATGACATCAAAACAAACAGCTTAACAAGAACATGAAAAATGCATATGCATTCATATATATGAGGCTCTGATCCCTCAGATTTCTTCTCCCAACCCAGATATTTTGTCTTAGAAACCTAAAGAATTCACTTACAATTTTCCTATTTGGATTTATACTTTGTCTTCAGTCACCTTATTTCGAACTTTGCTCTTTTTTTTAATGGACAACATGCAACCGTATGTATTTTTTCATGAGCTTAAGCCAAGAGAAACTTATGTCTGCACAGAAACATGAGATCTGATTTCCTTTTAAAAACAGGAGTTTCTGTGGCAGAAGCCCAAATGTAAATGTGCTTATGCTGGCATAAGCCAGTGCTCATTGTATAACTCACTGCACTTGGAGAACCAGCATAAGCTAAAGTAGCAAAAATAGTAAATCCCTTCCCAAGGAAATGAATGGAATGGATACCAGGTCATCTGCATCTCTATTTCCTTCCAAGCCTTCCCAGCTGTGGTGCTGCTGGTTGTCACTTTTCCAAGGAAGTAAGGCATTCCCGGTTCTCTGGCTGTGTGACTGGGATGTGGCGTGGGCTTCCCTGTGAACCTGCTGAATTCACCCAGAATATCTATGCTGTTTTCACCTGTTTGAGGTTCCCAGACACTGTCTTCAAGAGGCCAGGAAGTCGTGTTTTTACAGAAGTACTGTTATGTGAGTAGTATGACAGACAAAAAAAGATTTCTGAAACTCTCTACGTGCGCAACCAAAGTGCTATCAGCCTCCAAAAAAGCTGGCCTACTCAGACACCTCAGCAGCAGTTTTTACGCCTAGCTTTCCTCAATAACTTCTGTCTTTCCTTATAGAAAGTCTAAACCTGAAAGTTACTATCATTTTCATCCATGTTGTAAGAGGATCTTTAATAAACATCAGTTATTTGCAATTTTCTTACAAGTAAAGACAGAAAAAATATTTTTCTTCATCTATTTATTTTCTTCCATGCAGTTCCTAAATCAAACTAAGCCACCTTAATAATCAAGATGAGAAACTACTACAAAAAATCTCCAATTACACAGCAATTGTAAGTACAGTGAGCCTAGAGCTACAGAGGTGCTTTTATCAGTCTAAATTTTTTTTTCCCCAAGAACCAGTATTGTAAGACATTCTTGGCTGCCGATAGAAGTTGCTTTTACATGAGGAAAGGAGTTTGTTAATAGGCTGCAGCCAACTTGTTTGCAAGGCAGATTTGGGTCAAGCAAGTACTTTACGTGTACATTCTACAGTAGGTACAGGTATATTTGAGATTTCTTCATCAGACTCCTAGTCATTCAAACCTTCTGAATCCAATATTACTTCTTTTAATCTTCTAGTCCATCCTATTTTATATTGTTGTCTTCTTGACTCCTATCTTTCAAATTGCATCCTTTTTATTACTTTTTTAAATGTGTATTTTTGCTTTTTTTGCCTTCTTTGTCCTCTACCAAGCTGTCCAGTCCTACGTGCAACAACATCCCATTTTGCACCTAGAGTTTATGTCTCTTTCATCTTGCTGGCTCCAATACTTCTTTTCAAGTCTTAATTTAAAGCCATCTGATCTGTCTAGTTCAATTTTCTTTGTTTCAGCCTCCTTTGTTCTTTCTGTATCTCTGTTTAAATTTTCACATATTTTGAGACACAGAGCTTGTAAGAATACTTCACTGAAGACCTTCTTAAACTACTTATATTAATAGATGTGTTTCCTTCAGTAGGATTTCCTTCTAAAGGAAGGAAACACGGTCCCTATGTTAAGCTCTAAGTATACTGCTGTGACCTGAACACATTAAATACTCGGTTTTGCAGAACACACCAACCTAGAGATGATAACATTTG